GCTAACAAACCGCTAACAGATTCGTCGCTTTTTGCTTATTTTGGTCCTTTGATTCGAAAATAGCGCTTCATTGCGTAATGTAAGGCTTTATTTTATCAGACTCTCAACTTGGATCAACGAATAGTCGATGCAGTTTATGTATTGACAGCTTATGTTTGATAAATAGTATTTATGATATTTCCAGGTTTACCGAAATAGGCTGTTTGACATGAACAGTCCACAGCATTCGATGGACGGTTGCATGTTTACAGGTTCGGTTCGACATTTCGGAGATTACATTGTATTTCGATGGATTGACGGCGATCCTTTTCAGACCCTAGACTGAATACCCAAAAAGCCCCATTTGTCGTCTCCAGACAATATTCTTCTTCGCATTCTTCGAGAGAAGGTTGCTTCACACACATCCGAATGACAGCAAGAGCAAAGTGCTCGAGGTTCTTCAAGCGACTCATCAACTTCCACCAGATGGATTTCGAATTCGCCTTTTGGCAGATGCTGTACTTGCTTGTGGCGCCAAAGAAAGTGTACAGAAATTTCATGTACCGAAAAAGTAATTTGTTTTCCTATTTTCTTTGTGTGTCACGTCTTGAACATTGAATTATGTCGCTTTAGGGACTAAAGACCAATGGGCTCGCGATGATCCTGCTTTCTTGCTGATTCTCAGCGCAGCGCTGTTCGGTATGCCATAGTTTCTATGATTCTTGTACCGCAAGGAGAATCAGTTGAGGCTAAGCAATAGTGCTTTCGTCCCGGATTATAAATGGCTGCTAATGACCGAATGAGCATGGTACCTTTGCAGAACTGATGTATTTTCGAAAAGTGCTAGATGTTCAGGTTCGAAAGTAAACTTCATAATCGTTCAAATTTTATTCTTCCTTACATTTTCTTGGTCGAATCCTTTCTGGCACCCTTAATTTCATGACGTTAGTTAATGGTATAGTGCTGATCTCTATTTTTATGCATCAGGCAGGATTCTGTTTGTTTTAAAGGAAGATTCTACACCAACTATGTGGAGGGCATAGTCTGTAGTCTCCTCTTTTCTTCCCGCAGGGTGGCATTCATTTATCAGTCTCGGATAGAAGGAAGGCGACTGACCGGACCAGGGTTAAAACCCTCTTCCCCTCGGTTTTTAATCAGACGCTCTACTGACTGAACAGCTGGCAAGGTTTGGGACAGAACTTCAAGGATACCCCCACTGATGAATCGACTTCTCCCCATAACGAGAGATCATTATTTGTTCGGAATGTCAGACAGAGACTGGAAGGCAAGCTCAGGTGATACGCAGAACCGCAGTAGACAGAGAATCAAGTGTATGGAGAATATTCAACATCTGGCTTTGTGATGCCTTGCTGGAATCTAGTTCGTGGAGCTTTGAAATACCCTGCTGTGAAACTGCTACCCCGTTGCCTGACAGGAAAAGCTGGTTTTCAAAATAGATCAATATATCTCCTGTTTTTCTTGTAGCGGTTTCCTTTTAGCAATGGTTCTCTGTAGGGGTCAGTTAACTGAAGAATCTTCGATTCGTAGTCAAGTTTCGCTGTCCGGCCTCTTGTTTTTCATTACATTGTTTATTGCCCTTCTTCATTTTTGTTTCTCCTCTGTTGCTATTTTTAGACAATAATTTTCACACTTTGTTTCGGCATTCTTTCCACAACCTGACCGACGGAGTTTGTTTTTGCGTTATTGGGGCTGCTGGTAGAATTTGAAGCGTTATGAGATGAATAATTTGATCTTAGGTCGAGTCCTAGTCAAGTCATTCGCTTTTCGTTCCTCTTAGGTTAATTAGCACCTCGTGATTCTGAGATAATTTCTATTGCATATGTGTACCGGCATATGTGAAGCAGTGGCCATCTTAAATGTTTTCTCTCATAAGTCTCTAACAGCCTTAGCGGTTTGCTGGAATTATATTTATAAATAATTATTTATTGTTTTTTGCTGGCAAATCACGGAATTTCCCAGATGATGTTCTTTGTTGATGAAGCCTAACATTAAAAAGTTTTCAGTGTCTTCAGCCCTTTACGCTGTTGTGCTTCG